TCACAGGATTTGCTCCACTCCGAATGACAATATTTAGCCTTACAAATAGCAGGAGAACAACCAAAAAAACGTCTGCAGATCCCATGGCCTCCCAGGCTAACAGAGGTTACATTTTCGTTGTGTGTGAATTCGGTCTATAATTCGTTGTGCTGTTCTTTCACTTATTTTTTTGGGGGCCTGGCATGTATGTATGTGTCCATGTTTCAGAGAGCAATTCCACTTAGCAAAGGCACCGAAGACTGATCCATTTCCAGAGTTCCCTGCAGTGCATTTACTTTGTAAAGAGACTTGTTTTTTTTGTTACTATATTCCCCACATGCATAGTATCGCCTTTGTCATGCATTTTGATTATATTCCCCTTTTGTCAAGATATATTGATTATTCCAGCCATCAGCATATCTCACCTCTATAGATTTATGATCTAGCTGTGCCAGGGAGGTAACACAACTCACACGTATTTCCCACATAATTACACGCAGTGTCCCAGACGTGTCAACGCATTAACTTTACAATATATGACTTGGACATTTTGACATCCTTTTGTGTGTGAATGTATTTGCCACAATAGCAATATCTAATCTCCATACATTTGTTTTGAAGCGGTGCCTGGGGTTTGTCAGTGTGCAAAATAATTCCCATGCGTGTCACTGCATTGGCCTTGTAATGTATCACTTACTTCGCATCTCCTATCTTTTTTTTGTGTGTGTGGCTCAAAATTTCCTTTCACAATCGGAATATAAATTCAACATAAATCTGTGTCCGGGGTCAGAAAGAGAGGGCTGACCAGAGTGGGGGGGCGCTCCTCAAGTCACTTCATGCAGAATTCTGCCAAGTGCATGAAAAACTTTACAACGAGTTGTATTGACAACATCTCCCCCTCCTCTCTCACTCACTCTCTCTCTATCTCCCTCATCCTCAATTTGCCCCCAAACAAAACATTTGCAAAATAAGCAAATCTAATTTCTAGACGTCTGTGATCCAGCAGCGATGGTGAAGTACCAGGGTCTGTGCGGATAATCCCATCCCTTGCACAGTGTCACTGCATTAACGTTGTGAGCACAAGTCTAACCACTCTGTGGGTGAAAGGATACCTCCTTCCACAATAACAATATCTGAAGCTCATACATTTATGATGCAGCACAGGCTGGGGGGTTGCCAGTGTGTAGATATTTCCCACATAATTCCCTGCAGTTTCCTAGACGTGTAGTATGCGAGAATGAAGTGCCTCCGCATTGTTCGACTGAACTATTATGTGCTTAACATTTACATCACAAAAGTGCCACTCGACTTCCCCGATTAATGCAGCTGAAGGGCTCTTGTCGTCCAGTAATAAACATTGTTGAAATAATTTATTTGGAACCCTGGTTACTCGTGGGAGAATGGCTATTACTGGTTAGCAGATTGGACAGTCAATGTTGTTGTGATGGTAGTTTCATAAACACTGAGTAGTGTTTCACCCCCACACCCCCCCCCCCCCCCCCCCCTATTGTGTGTTGTGTACAAAAGGTCTGCTGTCTGCCAGGCTGATCAGTGGAGCAAGAGACCCTCTCTCCATATACTGTATGGTCACTGTCAGTTAAATGAACTGCTCCTTGTTCTCCTGTATTGTTCAAGAGTCCCTTAAAACATTTTGTCACAAAAAAAGTTCTTGCACTCTCTCCACGTTGCACCTCGGAATTCATTCTGCTCTGTGCGCCGCCGTCCATCAGTGGGGGATCATCTGGCGTTAAGCAACAGCTTCAGCAATAGGTCAGACTACTCTTTGTAACTGATATCATTTCAACAGATCTGTGCACCCCCACTGCCCCACTCCCCAACAACCTCAACGTGCACAGAGAGGTGCTCAGTGCAAAAGCAGTTAAATTAAATGAGAGGCTAGTTTATGCCTCCCTGTCACACTTGAGGATATGTCTGCATTTTTTTTTGCAAGCTGGTGGTGCGGCCTCACTGAATTGTATTTGCACGTTTCATTGGGAAGAAGACTGACCAAACGGCCAATGGTTTGTCATTCTTCCTATTTTCCTACTTGGGATGAAATCTTAAGAAACGTGTGTGCTCCTGCCTGCGATTACAAGGGTTTCTTGAAATTCGCCAACCGACCACAGAAAAAAAAAAGTTGCATAAACGATCACAATTTCCCTGAATTTTATGAAACAATCCAATGAATAAGACCGACACTCAAACTGGTTAATGCAGAATAGTGAAATAATTTGAAATGCTGTATATACATATATTTAGACTATATTGCTTTCAAATTCATCTGAACATCCCTTACTTCAGATATCAAATGCAAGGATTATTATTATTATATCAGGAAGTAGCATTGCACATGTTTCGTGTGCTTGTTTCTACATTATTTCGCCCACTGCCACCTTTAAGGTGCAGCAGTGTGGAGAGGCAGTATATACTGTTGAGTGCTGATTTATTTCAGGCAGATGCTATTGACAGCCGCTTGTAAACCAGTCCCCCGTTTATTCTCTCGATTAATTATCACTCCAGCTGCCAGACCCCAGGCTTTAGGGTGCTAATGTCTTCACTCCTTGTGGGGGAACGTCAGTGTCTTTTAGCCACCAAATTTTCATTGAAAATACAGGGATGTTACAGTTAAGCTAAGGTAAGTAGCCAATATACAGAGTGCACCCCAGCAGTGGTTATCAAATACCCATTTTTTTTTGGGGGGGGAGCCAATAGCTTATAAACAAAACAAAATATTGCCTTGATACAACAGCGATTTTGAATCGTTTTTTTTAAAAAAAACTAAATTCTAATTTATATCGCTGCAAAAGGTTTGTCAACAATTCTTTGCCTTAAAATCCACAGTGCGAATAAAAATGACTACTCTAGTTTAAAACTAATTTGTGATATGGAAACAAACTCCCCCCAAAAACTTTTATATTGATATGTATACTATATATTATATTTCCATGTAACAAATTAGTCAATATGTAGATAAACTTATCTATTCCAGTAAAAACAGGAAGATACTTAAAGGTGGTTCATTTAAGTTTTCCCTCACACTGAAGCCTAAGAGAGATGTCCAACCCAATACAGGGAGAAGCTGCAACCGTAAACAAACTGCAGCTTCTCTTTTATATCAAATCCACATAATAGTGTTGCGGTCGTTAAACAAATCCGTCAACCAAAGTAAAAGTTTATTTGTGGGCGCAGTTAAACTTTTGACTGGGCTTCCAACCGCAACATTGAAGAATAAAATAAACAGCGAGGGAAAAGATAAATAAACTTATTCCTCAAGCCTGATGTGGCGCGATTTACTTGAGAAGCCACGGGCAATCCCCTGGAGGACCCCAGCCTTCTTTGTGTTAAATGTTTAAAGATTTCAAACGACGGAGTTTATTCCTACTGCAAACACTTCTATTTACAAGGTCAAGTATACCAGCACTCGACGGGTGCTTAAGAGTGTCATTATTTATCTAAGGACGTTTGAGTGAGGATCAGGAGCCTTGGCAGAAGACCAGGCTGAATGCCCTCAGAAAGCAACTCAAAGCAGAAGGCATGACATTTGCACACATGCATTCAACAAGTTTTGTTGAAGCCATGACATTTGCACACATGCATTCAACAAGTTTTGCCTTTATGTCCTGGTTGTATACTCTACACCGCGTTTCCCCCTTTGCTGCAATTGAACTAGCATATCTACACTTGTTGGGCTATGTTACCATTAAACAGCTGCCTTGGCTCCATTCCTGTACATAAGCAGTTTACTGTTTGGATTGTGCATTCTCAAAACAATTAAACCGTACGGTTAGTTACTCATTGGGCATTCAGCATCTCACCAGGAAAGATTTAACCTCCTCCCCCTCTTTCACAGCAACTTGTCTGCACTGAAAGAAATAGCAACGAAATTAAAGCAAGTCAGGATGGCTGGAGGCCACTTTTCTCGACTCACTGAGTGCTACTTGGCCAGTCTGCAATAGTTTTTGGTTCACCCCCCCCTCCCCCTGCTGTACAAACCTCTGCTGAAAATGGCTACTCAAAATGATTAGTAATTTGGAACTTTTTTTTGCAGCAATTGACTTATAAAAACGCACGCCAGAGGAAACCTAATTAATTGGACGTCTACTTTGACCCGACTGTCAGCTGTGAAAACAGCAACCTCTCTGGCCCTGGAAATTTGGTAAAGTTTAGTACCAGGACACCCTCTCTCTCTCTCTCTCTCTCTGTCTCTCTCTGGGACACGTTAACAGCCTGAGACCAAACCCATCCAACACATCACAGTAAATCACCAGCGTTTTTCACTTGACTCACACTTTTTTTTACACATAAACACAACACAAACACACGAGACTTAAGGTTTTTTTTAAACTAGATGAATCTTTATGCCTTCTATAAAAATACAACGTTAACGGCAGTCGTAAAAGAACAATTTCTAGGAACTCCCAATTTTTTTTCCAACTTTTTTTTTCAAAAATACACATTCAAAAGTGAACCTTTTTTTTTCTCTTCCAAATCTACACGTTACAATCTTAAAAGATTATTGCAGTTTGGGGATGGCCGAGAGCGTGTTTTCCATTGCATTATAAATCATGTTTTCCCTTTAAAGAATAAGTTGTGAAGTCTTGTACCTTTTTTTTTGTTTGCTGCTAAAATAATTGCACAGCTCTCTGCAAATCCAGAGCCGCGTCTGTAAGTCTATATTTCAATAAATTATTCCCAAAATGTATACATTTGTAACTTTATACACAGTACACAAACAAGTACAGCGACTGGTAAAACAAAACATCACCAGTCATATAGATTTATCATAGCCGTACCAGAGATGAACTCCATAATACCCCTGACACAACCGAAAAAATACAAACAAATCTTACCAGAGTTAAAATTTATATATAAAAGTCTATCAAACTTTTTTTTAATATATTGTAGATGGCAGTGCAGAGCTTTTCTGTGTGTGTGTGTGTGTGTGTGTGTGAGGGGATGGGGATGGAGGGATGGGGATGGGGTGGGTGGTATTTTGGGTGAGGGTGAGGATGGGGGGGGGGGGGGAGAGGAGGGTCGAAGAAGAAGAAAAGTTGCATTGTTTTTGTTTTATGAACGAGAGACGAGGAGCAGCAGGAACATGGACACCGTCAAAGTCAAAGCACTGGGGGCTCGGGGGCTGCAGGAGTCTTTGGGTCCGGAGGGGTTTCTGAATTGCCCTCCCGCATCCCCGCCGATGCTCTGGGTATCATAGTAGTCCTGGTACTCATCGTCCGGCTCCATGTCCCAACCGCTGCTGCCGGAGCTGTGCTCGGCTCCCGAGAAGCACAGTCTGGCCATGTTGTCCTTCACCGCCTCGCAGATGGGTCTGTCGGCTCCGTCGCACACGCACTCCTTGAGCAGCAAGGCTTTGGGGATGCTCAGCATGCTCTCGATCACCTCCCGGCACTGGTCCGTGCACTTCACCCCGTTGAAGAGCTTGCCGCAGTTGTGCAGGTAGCGGCGCATGGAGTTGTGGCACTGCGGGTCCCTCTCGCACTGCTGTCGGGCTTCGGTGCAGCCCATCACCCCGTCCCGGTTGCGTGTCCTGGGCAGACAGGGCTCGATGGCGCGCTTGGTGCTCTTGCAGATCTCGTCTTGCACACAGTCGCAGCTCTCCAGCATGGGGCCGGTCTGCGTGTCATTCAGATGGATGAGCGCCGAGATGCAGTGACTGGGACACCTCCGGGTCTCCTGGTACAACACCGACCTGCACGCCTGCAGATACTGGTTATACGCGTAGCTGCATTCGGGCTCGACCTGGCACTGCATGATAGCCTGCCAGCAGATCCACCGGGCCAGCACCGGGCCGGAATTGTTCAAAAAGCCCAGCAGACAGGCTAGCAGCAGGCCCCAGTTGCGGATCAAGCCGGCGAGACTCGCCATCCTCTCGGTGTCTCGAAGTTTTTGAAGTCTGCCAAGTTTTTGCATAAGGGATCAAGGCTGTGTCATGCATCCATTCAAAAGTCCACAGCGAGCGGAGGGAAGACTTTCTTTCTCTCTTTCTCTCTGTCTGTGTCTGTCTTGTTGGTGTGTTTTTGCAGAGCTCAGGAGAGACCCGGTTGCTTTGCTGCTTTGCTCTCTCTCACTCACTCACACACACTCACTCACTCACTCACTCTCTCTCTCTCTCTCTCTCTCAGTTGCTTTCCCGTCAACACACGCTCGCAAATGCAAATGCTTGCGAGAGTTTGATGCGAGGGCTTTTTAGAGGAACGACTAAACCCCCGACGCGAGAGAGAGAGAGAGAGAGAGAGAAAAAAAAATGCCCCTGGCAGCCGGCAGCGTGCTCTAATCACCTCTGCAGACCTACTACATTATGCATTCAGCAAACTGCAAACAAACAGCGCTTACAGCGGGGCAACTCCAACACATCCTGACCAGTCAGCCCGCCCTCCTCACACTGCACCGCCCGCCCCTCGCCCCCTGCACCATTGGCTCCCATCCTCCCTCCCTCTCCCTCTCCCTCTCCCCCTCTCTCTCTCTCTTTCTCCCCCCCCTCCTTTTTTTTTGGGACAAAATTTTTTTTTGCAAAATTGAAGTAGGCGGCAGTGGGGGGGGGGGGGGGGGGGGGTGCGGGTAGAAAGAAATGTGCGAATGATTGGCCGCGGGACAGCGCCAATAGCTTTCCCCAGAGCTGACTTGAGAGCAACTTCCTCCTCCAGTGTCCTGTCTGGGAGCAGGGAATCTCACTGCTGTTTCCCATCGCTGGCCGGGCTGTGGGCTGTGGGCTGGTTGCTCACGCTTGGCTGCTGCTTGTGTGTGTGTATGTGTGTGTGTGTGTGTCCCAACAGTGAGCTGAGATGGTTTGCAACCGCGATGTGGCGCTTTCCCACTTTCCCTCAAATGTATCCACAACAGGGAGTTGCAACATTGATCCACACACTCCCCCCCCCACCACCACATCTTCCCTTCCCCACCGCGTTTCTCTCCCTCTGCACAATCCTCTCGCCCCCCCCCCCCCCCCCCCCCCCCACACGTTTCCTGCTGCATCTCTTGGCATTGTAATTTACCCCCCCCCCCACCCACCCCACTTGCGTTTCACTTAATGCACTTTTCTTCAAACATACCCCCCCCCCCCCAGAAAAAAAGAGTCCTGGCTTGTTCTTTCCTGACTTACAAAAAGTGGGCGCTTTTGATGGTTTATTATTAGATCGATGCTCTCTTTTAAGTTTGCAAACGCAAGACCAAGCAGCTTTCTTTTGAAATGCTTTAGTATTTTGTGTGTGTGTCTGTGTGTGTGTTTTGGGGGGGGGGGTGTTTTGAGTGGGGTTTTGTTTGCGGGGGTGGGATGGGGGAATAATTGTGAAAGAAACTAAACTGAAAAACAAACAGTTGGGGTGTTTTGTTTAAAGTTTAATGTGGAGATGTGTGTGTGTGTGTGAGAGAGAGAGAGAGAGAGAGGGGGGGGAACTCTTTTTTGTTCTTTGCTCATGATTTATTTAGTAGTCGGGGTTATCAATCTGCTACAGTGCATTCCTTTGGGCTCTTCTCTCGCCTCCCTCCCTCATTCTCATTCACAAGCTGTGTGTAGTGGCATGGAACAGGGTAATGCCCCCCCCCCCCCCCCCCCACACACACACAGCAACATTACACATGCCTCTCAACTCATCCTTTACCTCCTTAACGTGCATTCCCTTTCAGAAGTTTCTCACTCTCTTCCTCCCCCCCCCCCCCCCCAGTCGGTTGGTGTCCTTAAACCTGTGGCGATGCCTTCATTTCCCTGGTGTGGCAAAGCTGTCTGTGCTTCTGCGATTGCGACATTATTCGCCCGAAAGAAGCTTTTGATTCACAAAAAAATTCCGTGCAGCCTTGTTTGCAAAATCGCGTTGTTTATCTTTTTTATGGGGGCGGTGGGGCGAGGAGGAAATGCAAAACAAAAACACACCACAATTGTGCAACTCGATTGCCTTTCCTCCCGTGGCAGAAGGAGATACATGTGGGTAAAAGGTTATTTTCTCCAGATGAATGGTTGCAATACGCATTACCAGCAAATAGGGAAAATGAAACATAGCAACACAAGGTAGAGACATTTGTATTTCAAAGTTCCCCTATTTTTCCCCTTTTTCTGTTTCTTAACGAACATCTCAAATGCGAATATTATTGTTAAACGCGAGTCACACGTTAACAATCAAGAAAATAATTGTTCAATCTATGTACAATCATAGGAAACGGCATAATAAACAATATTCAGAACAATTGAGGATGTGTACGTGCAAAGTTTACAAATAGTATTGTGCCAATACAAACCATATAACATAAGCTTGCACAGTGTGAATGTCTGTAGTCACAATACTTGGTTAGATGCAGACAATGGGACACTGAACTGTGCAACTTTTGTTGCAGTATTTTTTGCTTATAGTAAGAATTGTGTTGTATTTCTTTACTTAGTTTGTGGACGTGTGTAAGCAACGGCTGAATGTTGGGAGATTGCACTAATGTGTCAATGGTTAATATTTAGTGCCACTCTCAACCTTCCTATTCCCCTGAAACCGTCAGTAATATGTTTGCTGAAAAATGTGGAAAAAGACGAAATAAACTTGTCAGGGTTATCTTAGAGACCAATAAAATAGGAACTGAATGTTCAGCAGGAAGGCATATGGAAAAGTGAACACTCAACTCCAGCCCAAGCCAGACTCAGGTAAGTAAATTTATAAAGTATTATAAGTAAACCAGAAGGGGAACAATTTGAAGTATCGGCACAGCTGAGTGAAACAAGTAAATAACACGATGAGTTTTCTGCCCTCACTAAGACCTGCAGAAACAGACCACTTTTAGGACTGTATTACCAGTGTCTCCCCCACCTGTTATGTCATTTGGACCTTTCAGACATTGACAGAGGACATCACAGGGGTCAGCTGGGCTGCTCTGTCAACACTGGCAGGGAGACAAGGCCAGAAGGTCTAATGGGCCAGTTGTTCTTGTGAGCTCTGCAATTCATTTGCTGTTGTTGTACTCAACTTTTCAAATGTCCTCTCCGCCGGTTTCCTCAACTCCACCATCGAGAAGATCCAGCTGATCCAAAACTCCACCGCCCGCATACTGACCCGTACTAAACTCCGTACCTCCATGACACCAGTTTTAGTCAGGCTCCACTGGCTCCCTATCATCAAATGGATTGATTTCAAGATCCTCACACTCGTTTTCAAATCTCTTAATAATCCTTAATAATAATAATCCTTGCATTTGATATAGCGCTTTTCACGTCGGGAGGACGTCCCAAAGCGCTTCACAGAACACACTGTAAAGTGAATTGACTGTATATTTGTGGGCGAACGCGGCAGCCAATTGCCTCTTCATGCCCTAGCACCTCTCAACCGTTCCAACTAACTTACTCTTCAATCGACTACCCGCTGCCTCCGCTTGACTGGCTCCATCTTCCTGCATGTCCCTTATAACCTCCGTTCCACCATCGGTGGCCACATTTTCAGCCCCTGTGCCCTGAAACTCTGAAACAATATTCCTGTACCCCCCCACCTTGCCCCTTCTTTCCCCATCTTCAGATTGCATGTGAAGACCTTCCTTTTTGACCGTGGCTATGGTCACCTCCCCCTCCCCCCCAGCTTGGCGTTATGTTCCACCACTGTCAAGCACTCTGGGACACTGCACTGCATGAGGGGGGCTATATAAATGCAAATTGTTGTTGTTTGTGTATATTTACAACCACAGAACTGCTTTTTAACAACCCCATTTAAGTTTAATGCAAAATTTTTTTTGGCTTTTGCGCAATTGGTCTTAGATACAACTAAAGAATGCAGAGGTCAAGAATCATTACTGATGCACTCAGATGGAATTAGTGTGTACAGATATGTGCAATTCATTATCATCTGAATATTATCATACCCACCTGTAGTATTTTCTTTTAATTCATTGTTCATCATCCCTATATCCAAGATTCTTCACACATATCATTTACAGTAATACATTGTAAATGAGTAATAATAAATAATATTGCTATATCAAATATGATCCTCACATTTGATATAGCGACTTTCATATTGGGATGATATCTCAAAGCGCTTCACTGGACATGCTGTAAAATGTAGTGATTATGTACTTGTAAGTGAATGTGGCAGCTAGACTGTACACAACAATGTCCCACAAACAGCCACATGGTGAATGGCCAATGTTATTATTTTATTCTTTGCCCACAAAATAAACCACTTTACAGTATATCCTGTGAAGCACTTAGAGACATCCCGACAATGTGATAAGGTACCAAACAACACCAATTAAACTTTCCCGAACATGCCCTGTTCTGGGGACTGTTGTGAGGGTGTCAGAGGGAAATTGCAATGTTCTTCCTTTACATTGTTGCTTTTTTAATTCAAGAAAATCCTTCATATTTGCTGTTACAATAACAACAACAACAACAACAAGATTCCATTTATAAAGCGCCTTTCACGTCAGGAGGACGTCCCAAGGCGCTGCACAGTTGGGTCATGACCCGAGCAGGGGGGAAATGGTCAGGGTGAGGGGAGGGAAGGGAGGGAGCGAGGAGGGGGGAAATGGTCAGGGTGAGGGGAGGGAAGGGAGGGAGCGAGGAGGGCGAAGAGAGTCGAGAGGGGAGCTGAAGGCTCGGTCAAAGAGAAGGGTTAGGGCCCAAGGTTTGTGCAGACAGCAATATCATTATTTTACGCCGTCCTATACTTGGCACTTTTCTGTGCATGAAACTCCCCCACCATTGCCATATGCACAAAGACACCCAGGACCTCAAATACTGGATTTTCTAACTTTGCTCTTCAACTATTGCTGCCACTTTGAATTCGGCAATCATAGCTGTATTTATTGACATTACATATCTTACAGGACTCAAGTGGCTCATTAATGGCTTCAGAAGTGTGAAAAACCCATTATGGCAAATGTGTTCTCATTAGGAATATTAAATACACAGCTATCTTAGTTGGTGCTTTTTGGTTAACAGTAAAAGAACTCCACATTTCTCATTAACATTTAGGAATGCTGGGCACTGATTTGTTTAAACCAGCAAATTGGTAAAAAAATGTTTAAATTTGACTATTGGCCTTTGATGCAACGCATTTACAATCTGGCCCAGATCCAGCATTCTCTTGCTAAAATAGTTTAAAATCTATTTCCTGTGGTGATTTGGCTCAAGTGGTCACCACATGGGATTTAAAAGTAAAAGAAAAACAATTTAAAAGAATGCAACATTTAGAAGAAAGCATGGAAACAGGAAACAATGTATTAAAGCACAGCATAACTCCCGAATACATGATCCTCTGCATAAATTCGTATATCTATGGCGAAAGGGAACGGTCTTTGCAATAGGTATGTACTCTATGGCAGGTATTATCCAGCAGATTTATTGCTAAATCTGTTCTGGGATTCACAGTAAGGTAAAAGTAAATATATTGAATCACATCCATCTTTTCGTACAAGAAAACTTCCAATAAAAGAAATTGAAAG